GGCAGGTGCCATCAGCAAATTCCACACCTTCTTACTTTTTAAAAACCCCTAGTATTCCGGTTATTTGATCTTCTGTTCTTCCCCTAACCCAATCTCCCACTATTATGAAGGGTAAGGGTAACAACTTCCTGTTCTATAAGTTTTTCTTTATGTTTAATTTTTGCCGTATACGCATCTTTGATACTTAACTTACGTATCTTACGTAACTTTTTTGGGTATGCCATAGAACCCAAGAATATTTCACATCCTTTTCCGTTTAACTAAACCAAACGCCTTCTCAAAATTGATCAAACTTACATGGTTTTTTCTTTTTTTAGCTACTTCTTCTAAAATAAGTCTTAGGCACATAGACATATTGGTGGATGCACCATTTACATATTTAGTAATAAAGAACATATGAAAACATCGTAAGACACTTTTTTTGTAAAGCAATTTTTTTTTACAAATTGAAAATTGCTGAACAGGGTGTTATGTAATTAATGTAATATATTAAAATGGGTTGTTTCTTAGGGTCCACAAAGACGCACCTGAAACTTTTTTTTTTAATTCTAAAGAGTAAAAATAATTTATAATAACCTTTATCCTACTAAAAAGTACGCCACTCATCGACTAGGAACTTAAGGCTAATCTGGTTGCCTAATTTAATTTATTATATTATGGTTGGTAACAAGCAGCGTTTCCAAATTCTGTAAAAAAAAGTTGCCAGATTTTGTTTAAATTTAGCTTAATTACAAAAAAGACAATTGTGATGAAGGTAAATTCAAACAAAATCTGGCTACTTTTCTGACAGAATCTAATGCATTTCTTTTAAATTTTAGGTTATGTACTCAAATTTTAAATATCTTAACTAAGGGATGTGCTTTTGGATTTATTTACACAAATTGAATGTTTAAAGTTTAACCTGTGAACTTGTCGTTATTTTATCTGTGTAAGCAAAAACCGATGAAAAAATTATTTTTGTGGTTATGTAATTTTTAAAATAGGAACTAAATTTTCTAATCATTGCTTAAGCTTATAGCTGGATAAGTAAATAAATACAGAAGGGTATTAGAGCTTTAAAAGCATACAACTTTTGTATTTATTGAGTTTTTATTTATTTTTTGCAAGACAAATTTTAGTAACAATTTTTTTACAACTGGCAGCTACTTTCTTGGTTGATATCTATGTACTCACAGAACACAAGTGTGTAACCAGTGGCGTATCACAAAAAATAAAAAAACTTCTAATGCATATTTTTTTTTTTTTTGTTTTGAATGGGTACCACCAACTTCAAATACCGACAGACAGCTGTTTCGACCTTTATTGGGTCTCATCAGTGTCGGGCAACTTGGTGTAGTGGAACACAATCAAAACAAATTACTCCCTCAGCTTATATGCTCAGTTGTTAAGTCAACAGAGGCGAGATGTAAGAACATCAGGTGATCCACACCGTCAAACGACGTGGCCTTTGCTGCAATCGGTACATACTATGCAACCGGGACTGCACACAGCAATTGTATCACAGATACTAATATGGCCTAAAGGTTGCATAGTATGTACCGATTGCAGCAAAGGCCACGTCGTTTGACGGTGTGGATCACCTGATGTTCTTACATCTCGCCTCTGTTGACTTAACAACTGAGCATATAAGCTGAGGGAGTAATTTGTTTTGATTGTGTTCCACTACACCAAGTTGCCCGACACTGATGAGACCCAATAAAGGTCGAAACAGCTGTCTGTCGGTATTTGAAGTTGGTGGTACCCATTCAAAACAAAAAACTTTGGCGAGGTGTAGGTTCAATTTTTTCTTATATTCTTATGAATATTACCAGTGATGGGTCAAGAAAGTTTCTTAAAGAAACTAAGAAAATTGAATGTTTGCATATTTTTTTCTTTTTTTTTAAATATTTTTCCGTTACACCTTATGTCAAAAGGTATTCAGTATTTTAATATATTATAATAATTAGATAACACCCTATACCCCTATATACAGGTTTTCACATTCGGGAACGGAAAAAGATATCGATTTAAATTTTAAAAGCATTTATAATTCATTTAAAATATTTTGAACAAAATATCACTTTCGGTTTATTGACATAGATAGACAAATATTTAACATTTTCTTAACAAATTACCTGAGGATACCCAGGACAAATTAGTCCAACTTGAAAGGTTATTAAATTTCTTATTTTAAATGTAACTCAAAAACAAATAGTTTACGTAGAGAACATGGTATAGTAATTTTACTCAGAATTTTATACATAATTTAAAAATGTAAAAATATATGGGATGTTATATTTGAAATAAAAAAGTTGATGTCACTTTCGGTTAAACCGGAAGTGGCATTTTGTTTTAAAGCTTTAAAAATTTTAAAGCGATTTTTTTTTCATTCCCCAGAAACTTCTTATAGACCACGAAAACATTTTTGGTAAAGCCGTAAATTTTCTTAAAAAAATATGACTAATTAGCGTATTATGAATTTGGTTTCATTTCAATAAAAGAAGGCATTTATTTTCAACTAATAACCCATTAAAAAAAAACCTTTTAAATAATTATTATGAGTTATTTGAAGAGCAATGTAATTTTTATCCTATTTATGTGAAAGTGAATAATTGACATTTATCGAAAAAGCGTGTTGCAAAAAGTAAATGTATTTTCTGGCCCATTTCACGTTCTGATTCTCATGATTTTTCTGTTTCGCTCCGGTGGTGGCCTTGAATTTATTTTTTCGTCACCAGGGGATGAAAAATTTCTGCTGGCGACCTTTACATTAACCTTGTTTATTACGATCATAACGCCACACAATTTTATAAATTTCTTTATTTTTTATTTGTAAATTGACTGTGATCGAGTTTCAAAGTTTGTGGCACACAAATGGCGTTGATAACATATGGGAAACTTTCTTATTATTAATTTTACGAAGAAAAGTTATTCCTTATAAAAAGGTCTGCATGTTCAAAAATATAAAACAAAAGCATCATATATCAAATTTTTTCGGTCATATACGAGGTTTGACAAAAAATATAAATTTGGCACAGGAGTAAAGTACCTTCATTTGTGACAATATAGAAAAATGTAATTATGAAAAGTTGTTTGGAATAAAAAACTATGTTTTAATATGCAATTACATCCTACTTAAAATTTGTTTTTTATAAAAATTTCCGATACCAAACATTTTTTGTAGCCATCACAGTAACCAATAAAATAAATACAGATTCCTTCTTTAGGTTAACAAATTTGTTTTAGTTATACAATTCTGAACTGTTTAAAGAACAAATCTGTGGTTATTTACGCAATATTTTGTTTATTCTTTTTCTATGAGTTTGTCTATTATATGATTCTTTTGTAAGTGGTTTATTCTGTGGGTTTAGTTAATTGAACATGGTGATTTATGTGAATTTAGTCATTATGGATATTACGGTGAGAAATTGTACCGACATTGTTGACCTTCACGTGGTTCTTGCTGAACAATGAAATATTAATTAGACAAAAATGAGGTTTATTTAACCGAAATTAAAGCAGAGCTGGATTTAACACTATTTGAGTCCGCTTCTTCGTTTTTAATGGTTAAAAACTGGGTTGCCGAATTTAAACGTGATCGTACGAGTACAAATGATGAACCCCGTAGTGGACCTCCAAAAACGGCTACTCTCCCGGATATTATTGAAAAAGTGCACCATATCGTATTGAATGACCGTCGAGTAAAAGTGCGCAAGATAGCAGACATAATGGGTATCTCAAATGACAGTGTGCACAGAATTTTAACCGAAGAATTGGAAATGAAAAAATACTTGGCGCGTTGAGTGCCGCGATTGCTTGCACCGCGGTGCACCGGAGCAAAAACTGAATCGTTTGAGTGTGTCTCGCGACCTTTTGAGACATTTTCGCCACGATCCAAAGGAGTTTTTGCGTCGTTTCATAACCGTCGATGAAACCTGGGTCCACCATTGTACTCCCCAAAACCAAATAACACCCAATAACGGCCACCTGAGCTTATATACTACTATCGTAAGCCAACTGAGGCGAGATTTAAGAACATCACGTGATCAACACCGTCTAATGACGTGGCGTGGGTGTTCAAAGCGCCCTTCACGGCAATTTTATAAATGCAAAATTAACAAATTTTAAAGTAACATTTACAATTTGTTAAATTAACAAATTTAATGTTTTGGATTTAAAGAGCAACTAAACGTTAATTTCATAGTTTTTTTAGGTAATCCTAAAAATTTCAGTATTTGATTCAACCAATTCCATCTATTAAATCAAAATAGGATAAACATTTTAATTCAAAAAATTAGTTTATGTTAAGTCAATATTTTAACTGTCAAATAAACAAATTAACTTTGATAAACTCTGAATATTGCTTTGACACCAAAATATAGATTAATCCCTAGACCAAACCAAATAGATGAACATCTGACGGTATAATTTTGATGCAATGAAGCGCCCTTATACGGTTAGGGAGGAACTAAAATGCAGCGTTGCCAAAAGCGACCGCGTATATTTAAATTTTAAAAATTTATTTTATTATTTGAGATTGTCAGCGTTACCAAATTCTGTCAAAAAAACGTAGATTTCGAAATAACCTTAACTAAATAACTAAATATTTTACACAATCAACAATAATTAAATATCATAAAATGACAATTTGCATTTTATCATTTTTATAGTTATAATACAATAAATAATATAATCAAACAAATTATACCTTTTTTTACAGAATTGGGCCACATTGGGTCTATATATAAAAATTTAATTTTAAATATACAAATTAAAATAAAAATAGTTAAGGGTATAATTAAAGTAATTTGAATTAGAAATATTTCTTTATTATGTATTACAAAAATATATATAAAATATACCTCTTAAAAAATATTAGTAATAAAAGTACATACAATAAAAGATTATAACATAAAAAAAAACCTAATATTTCCCCTTAAAATTTAGCAAAAAACTTGTATTAAAAAAAAGAACAAACCTCTACATTTTTTAAAACTAAATTTAATAAAACTTAAAAATACCTGGTAATAATTTTGTTGGGTAAGCCTGACGATTAAGCCTTCTATTAGCTATAAAGTCTTTCTCAGCAAAATGCTTTGAACACACTCTGCAGTTTTTGAAGACTTTTTCAGGTGTCGTTTCAAAAAGTCGTTTATTTTGACACAACTTAACCCACTGATTAAACAAGTCCATATGCCAAGGACGTGACGTCATTAGACACAGCGACATCTGTAGGACATGGAGAAAGTTTATTTTAAAATACCCCCCCCTATTGAGATATTCGTCTATTTGGTTTGGTCTAGGGATTAATCCAATAGGTTTTTTGATGAAACAACATTTTCAAAAATGAAATTTAGGCAAACGTTAACTCAACTATATTATTTTTTTCGGTGTTAGTGTCACAAAAAAATGCGAAATTGTATAACTTAATTTGTTCGCATTGTAAAAGTATTTCAAAAATACTTGAACATTGTTAAATGCAGCCATAATAAATTTTTCTTTCACATTTTCCAATATTTTCCAAGAATATTACAACAATAGAAAAAAGCACAAAACTTAACAATACCATTTTATTAAAGGCTATAGAAAACATATTGTATTTTTGTTTGTCTGTCGATTCCAATACACACATTGTAAGACTTCAGATATTAAAAACGTTTTGTGCTTCAACGGGGACTTTATATTGCCGAGCAACAAGAACTGAAAAAGGAAAATTGTTTACGGCGATAAGGTCAAAAGTCCTCTTGTGCCTGAGGGCATGTCTATCAAACAATAAAGCACCTAAATCATTTTTCTAAATTAAATAACATAAAACTCGACATAAAGAAAACAATGTTATATAAAATTGGTTTAAAAATCAATTAATGGTGGCATCTTGGAATATACAGTATGGTGGTGCGAAATATGAATATTTTTAAAATTGAAAACGCCTGTACTTATATGGGTAGTTTTCAGTATCTTTTAAGATTCTGATTTAATTTTGAAAAAAAAAAATTGTTCGGATTTAGTTCAACTGACTTTTTCTTTTAGGTAACTTGGTCAAATATGCCAGAATGATGAAGAAAGTGCTTTATGTGCATAAAAATAAAACTTTTAAATAAATTTTAAATAAAAAATAAACAAATTTTTAACATGACCATCGCATAATTTTTTTATGTGATTTCACAAATTTTTATTTGCTTAAAATTAAAAGTATCCCCATGTTGTGAATTTTAGGTTAGAGTTTCCATCGGTAAACAACCGACAACAAAAAAAAACCTAGCGAGCAATTTATAACTATTTATGTTGCTATAACTTTAACTTACCTTTTCTATATCAAAATACACGACATGAACTGTAAATATATCGCTAACTGAACTGCACAATTAAGTGTCGCCATTTGCAATAATAAAATATTTTAATTCACACATCTAGCGGAAAATAGACGACCTAAAAGTCCTTCTACGGTCATTTGAAGAAAACATCGGGAAAAAGTTCAGTTATTATTTTTAGCCTAAACATTAACAATAATGGCTATTTAAGACAATTTTATAACACAAAAAACCCAACATTTGTTCAATATCATTTTCTTTGCCTACTTAAAAGTTGAATTAAATTTTTAGAAGATCGCAAATATTGGATTTTGCTCGAGGGACAAACGACGGTCATGCGAAACAGGAGTTTTAAAACCAAAATTAAAAAATAAAATCATAGGATTGAACTTTTGGTACCTATAAATCGATAAAAAAGATGCCTGTCTAAAAAAATGTAAAACAAATGATGGCTAATATAAAGGTTTTAGTTTTAATACCCCAGGGACATGGTATCTTAAAAGTTACTGAAAACCACCCATATAGAATATATATTTTTGGTAATTTTTCTTAATTTTTTTTAATTGCCCTCCTCCGCCCCAAAGCCATCTTAAATATAAAAATTATAATATTCAGATGGAGGTGGAAAATAGTTTTTTTTTGAGCCAAAATAAAGTAATTTGATTTTTAAAATAAAACAACCGAATGGAGGCCCCCCGGTCAATTTTAAAAATATAAATCTTTTCATATTTCACTAAGCGGGGATCTGCGAACCCCCAGTCAATGTCAGATATGAAAATATTTGTATTTTAAAAATTGACCGGGGGCCACATTCAGCTTGATTTTTTTTTAAATCAATTTGCCCAATTTTGGAAAAGTTAGTTATGCCCCAAAAAAACCTTGAATCGAAAAAAAAATTATAATCGTAATTACCCTCGTCTCGAATTTTATAATTTTTATATTTAGGATAGGTCTGGGGCGGTGGAAGGAATTAAAAATATATATTTTTTTCAACGAAATATTTTTTTTTCATACACAAGGTTTTTATTTCCAGGCGTTTTCAATTTTAAAAATATTCATATTTTGCACCACCCTAATACATATATATATATAATAATAATAATAATATTAATTTTACTCATATATTATATCACGAGAACTATGAATTTAATCGGTTAAACTAGGCTCAGTAGTTTTTTGTTTGGTTTTTCTTGGAAAATGTTGAATGCAAAATAATTTAAAATCAAATTTTCCAATATGGAGGCTAAAATTTAATCGCTGTTAAATAGTTCTAGTGATTTAATCGCTTATTTAAACGAAATTTATTCGAAAATTCAAGGCTTTTGATTGGTTCATATTATAATGAGGGAAATAATCGTATATCACGAGAACTATGAATTTAATCGGTTATACTAGGCTCAGTAGTTTTTTGTTTAGTTTTTGTTGGAAAATGTTGAATGCAAAATAATTTAATAAAATCACGAGACCGCGTAGCGAGATATAGTCAATTCCATATTATATGGAAAATTGACTATATCTCAAAAACTGTTTTACTTTTATAACTTTTGAGGACATTTTCGGATTATGTGGTATAAGTGAAAAAGCAGTAATTAGTCATTTTTGACCAATCCATTTTTAGAGAGTATACTTTTTTATATTAAGTTTGCGAATGTGGGTGTGGAATTTTTGGAATCTTAAAACATTGTTTAAAAGATTCAATGTCAATTCTTTAACATTTTTCAACAAATTACCTAAGAAAACCCAGGGCAAATTAGGCTAACTTGAAAAGTTAATAACTTTTTTATTTTAAAGGTAACATACCATTTTTATATAATCAAATAGTAAATTAAAAAACTTTCGATTGATGTAACTATTCCCTATACCTAAAGTTAATAATTTAAAAGATATTTAACAATTTCTAAAATTCTAAACATTATTTTGTATACTAGAATCTAATGGACCACGAATGTGAAACACCCTATATATTACAGTGAAAAATATAAAAAAACAAAACAGTTTTTTTTCTTTTTAAAATTATTATTACTAAACTTCATAATGTTGGCATAATTTGTGTCCAGTTCGCAACACTACACAAAAACAAGTTAAGCGTGGCTTTAATCTGGTTTTACTTAATTAAACTTACAAATAGTAATTATAAAACTGAAATCCCAAATAAAACCTTTGGGAAACGAAATTTATACTTCATCTACAGGTGTTGCTATGCAAACAGAAAATACAATAAAAATATATCTGGAAAAGAATTCTTCTTGGAATAAATTGAAAGGAGATTCAAATTTTACGTCGAACAAAGCAAATAGATGGCTTTGAAAGCGGGACCAATAGGATTGAAGAAGATACCTATTTCAAATTAGGTTAAGGGTCTAATATAAATATAAAGCAAAAAAATGAATACCAAGATATGCATGGAAATTGTATTATTTCGTTAAAAAACAATCGCGAATAAATTTTTCATTGAAATTTATTTTTAGTTTTAGTTACACAATTTTAAATTGGATTAAAACCAAACATGTTCAAAAGCATGTGGAGGCGAAATAAAACAAATATGCAATAACAATTTGATTATCAAACAAATTTTTTATAAAACCAAACAGAGAATCACTTTATATTAATTAAATCCGGTTTTAATTCAAAAGAAAAAACAACAAGTTTTAAGAGATCTTTTTTCACCACAGTATTAGACCAGTGCAGAAGCCTTTAAAAATGGTAAAAAGAGAAAAAAAATAACAGTAGGATGAAACCCATTGGAAAAGGAGGGAAATATAATAAAAATTAAAGGAAAAATAAATTACGGGCGATCTGAGTTCGGGAAGTGGGAGGGGGGGGTTTAAGGGTAAAAAATGGTTTATATCGATTTCCGGCAAAACTACAAGTCCTATGGAAAAAAGTTAAATGTCAAAGTTCTAGGTAATAAAAAGATCTACAACTTTTGTATTTACAATTTTTTCACATAACCTCAAAATTTATGTGAAAAATTCAAAAAAACAAGTTTTTGGTTTTTTATTTTTATCTTTTAAAAAAAAAAAAATTTTTCCACGAAATTTGGTGAAAACTTACCTTTTTATGTCCCAAATACACTGTAATTTATTTGATTTGAAATATTTATTATTTCGCCTTATTTTGACTTAATATCAAAAAAGCACCCTAATTTTCAATCGAAAATTCTCGCGTCAAAATATCAGCTTTTTTCAAAAAGTCGGTGTGCTTTTTGTTAGATGAACTATCTACTTTCTGATGGTGTAAAAAAAATATACATTACTATGGTAAATGTTCTCAGAAAATACAAAACATATTATAATGAATAACGTAATCAGAATGAAGTATCTAAATTTTAAATTCAATAGTATGATTTACATGTATTTTTATATTTTATGAGATTTTCTGACATAAATGTTATTAGAATTTAATAAATAAACTTTTTAACTAAAAAAAATTGCAACAATCACATTTTTTTGATGAAATTGTACATAATGATTAAAATAAATTTTCGAATTCGAGTTTTTTTCGTTATTCATTATAATATTTTTTGCATTTTCTGAGAACATTTACCATAGTAATGTATTTTTTTTACACCATCAGAAAGTAGAGATTTCAACGAACAAAAAGCACACCGATTTTTTTAAAAAAGCTAATATTTTGACGCGAGAATTTTCGATTGAAAATTAGGGTGCTTTTTTGATATTAAGTCAAAATAAGGCGAAATAATAAATATTTCAAATCAAATAAATTACAGTGTATTTGGGACATAAAAAGGTAAGTTTTCACCAAATTTCGTGGAAAAATTTTTTTTTTTGAAAAAGATAAAAATAAAAAACCAAAAACTTGTCTTTTTGAATTTTTCACATAAATTTTGAGGTTATGTAAAAAAATTGTAATTACAAAAGT